AGAGTGTCATTAATATATCTCACTTATATATATATATATATTATTACATGAAATATATGTGATAAAATTTGCATGGATTGTTACCGCAGCTATTCCAATTAACAAGCAACTCTACAGCTTCAGCTACGTTTGTTTCACAGCTGGGGCTGCTGGAATTGTCTTCTCTGTGTTCTATCTACTGGTAAATGCAATATTAAGTAATTAATTAAGTACAAGAGTTGTGGTTAGTTATTAATTATATATGATTCTTATTTAACATTCATGAAAATCATACAGATCGATGTTTGGGGGCTTCGTACTCCATTCTTGTTCTTGGAATGGATAGGAATGAATGCAATGCTAGTGTTTGTTATGGCAGCGCAGGGCATCTTCGCAGCATTTGTAAATGGATGGTATTATAAAGACCCAGATAACTCACTCGTAAGAATCAGTCTTACCTTTTGACTTAAAATAATGAATCATATTATTATTATTATTATCATAATCATGTTATTATTTATAAGAATCAAACACACAACAATTGACATTCTGATGTTTACTTTATTATTATTATTATGATGTTTGGTTCAAGTAGCTAGCACAAAGGAGCTAACCATTTTTATGGCATGTGAAAACAATGAATCAGGTATACTGGATTCAGAATCATGTGTTTATCAACGTTTGGCACTCAGAGAGGTTGGGAACTCTGTTATATGTCATCTTTGCAGAAATCACTTTCTGGGGTGTTGTCGCTGGCATCTTGCACAAATTAGGAATATACTGGAAACTGTAACCTAACTACACAATCAACCATGTTAATTAATAGAACACAAACCTACAAATAGTCTAATATCTCAATTCTTCTATGCGATGATTGGTGGTGGTGTTAATTGGTAATATCCCATGTCCTAATCAATTTTTCTGAATTTTCTCTCTCCCAACTTCCACAAAGTTCTCTAGGATGGTCCAAAAGCTGAGGAAAATAAAAGTCACATGTTGCAACCCCTTTTTGTTTTGCTTTCTGCCATCATTCAGCTAGTCGTAGATGGACACAACATGCAATGATTCACAAGTTTGATATTAAACAAACTAAAATATAAAAGGATAAAAACAAACAAATCCTGTTTAAAAAACCAACTTTAATAAAAATGGTTAATTAGTTGGTGATTTACCTCGACGTATGAACCAATACTACAAGCAAAATATGAACGGAGAGTACCAAAATATCTGATTCTAAGACAAACATGAAAAAGAATCATGTGACTTTGTACCGTTGCACATCACGGGACCCTTGTATGATCTTGACATTTCGGAAAGAGAACAAAAACCCTCAAAAATATCAGCTTCTCATAATTTTTATTTTGATTTTTATATATGCCAAAAAATTATATATAACATTGGTAATCATGTGATTTTTCTTTTGTCAGAAAAAAAATCGATCGGTAAAATAACATCCTGGTTGGACACGTCAACATTTTGAAAGAAAAAATTATTGACTATTTCCTTTTCTCATCTGTCTAATGATTTTTATCTAATTTATCAATCCAACTGTTAATATATGTTCAATTTTTTTTCTTAATACTCTAAACAATTTTCTTTAATGAGAGACGTACTATATAAGTCGTTCACTCATTTTTTTCAATATAATAATCATTGGATATTTAATCTTTTGTTAGTATATTTATAAATCATTTTAATATACTCATAAAGATTGATACGACCCATCAACTTACTATTAATTAAAGTTAGGTTTCCTCTGAAATATCGTCGGCAAAGAATGAGTTAATAATTAGTAAAGACCATCGCACTTAACAACAAATTAATGAATTATCGTTGATTTAAGATCTATGAATATAACCCTCAAGAAAAAAAAAATCCGAATATGACACTTGATCCTTTTTTTGATATCCGAGCAGGGGACAGCGGATGAAGTCGAAGATAAATCCATCAAAAAATTTAATATCACTATCCAATTCCAACCAACTTTACTCTTCAATCATTTCAGTTTCATATTAGGATAAAAAGAAAGAGCACTGCTACAGCCGGAACCCGAGAATGATTCAAAAATTATTATTTTTAATAAATTTATTATAAAATTATTATTTTATAATAAATTTATTAAAAATAATAACTTTTTAATTATTCGAGCAATTTTTCGGCCTCCGTTTTCAGAACATACAGTATTTTCCAAAAAGAAATAGAAAGGAATATATGTTGTCATCTTAATCTTTTTATCAGATATTTTCACGTATGAATTTTACAAATATTATTTTAAAAGTATATGTAAATGCTTTTGTATTTAATATTTATAAAAAAAAAATACCAAATTTTAGGTTATATAGGCATCATTAAGGGGTAAGCCAGTGAAAATTTTACATAATTAAATTTTATTATTTGTATCAAATAATGGAACCAATTCTCTAAAGTTAATTCAATTAACTAAGTTATGAAATTTAAATTATAAATATGTAAATTCAATCTCTTTTTTCTTCTTTTCCTTCTCCTTATCAGATTTACTATGAGTTGAAATTGGACTGCGTTGACCACAGTTGGCAATCACATGCTACTGTCAGCTGAAAATGGGTAAAGAAAACAGATTGGGAAGTATCCTATATTTTCGAGAAACATATAACTAAATATTTGGTGCAACAAATATCACTAGAAAATATGCGATTCATATCTTCTATTAAAAAGAAGAAAAAAAGTACACTTGTAAGCTTTGATGGCATATCTTCTATTAAGATTTGGGTATACTAATCACTTTACAATATTTCATTTCATTTTCAGTAATAAAAAGCTCTTTGAAAAACGCCCTTCTCCATAATCTTCTACTAGTTACTGCCTTCTCATTTATATACATTAAGTTAGAATTACATAAGCTCAAAAGTATAGCGTGGCTAACAAAGACTACAATTTGCACACTACATATTTCACAATTACTCCTAATAGTTATGAACCATATGATATTAGACCACGTTATCTGTACACACAGGAAGAGAGGTTCATGCAAAGGGAACAATGTGATGATAGCAGCCATGGATTATTCCCATCCCATCAGCATTTTCCAAACTCCCTCTTCAATCTTGTTCCTTGGAACAGACAACCCCTCCCCTTCACCAAGCAAGATTTTATAAACCTCCCACTCTCGATCTCCAATCAAGTGTCTCCCAATTTCAGCCTGTTGCAACAGTTAACCAGAATATAAACACATTGTCTTGGAAAACAAGATAGAAAACAAATTATGAGGAGTACATAACAACGATGCCACTTGAGGTTTTGTGAATTTGCACACGTTCCTGCTTTTTTTTATCCCTATACTAACGCCTATAATTGTTTGATACGTACACATTACACTATCTCCTGAATTGTTTGAAAAACATTACACTGTATTAAGGAAGGTTGTTATAAACATTATAAAAGCAGGAGGGTTGTGTACAATCTCACGAAATCTCAGAAGTGTCCATACAATTTACTCAATTGCAAATAACAACATGCAAACACAAATGTATCAAGTTGCTAGAACAAAAAACACTAAGCATGTGAAATCTAGTAATACTGTTTTGTGTTAACGAGCAACGGAGCATGATTCAAGAAAGTGATAAGTCATGATATTGTGGAAATTTCAAATTATGGCTTCACTAAACAGTAGGAAGCATACATACCGAAAAGATGCAAGTGCCAAGCATTTTCAGAGAAAGAGTGATATCATGAAAAACAAGAGGTCGGCCTTTGCCAGATAACTCCACAGGATTTGCAACCAGAAGCTCGGTATCAGGGCCCCTACTCACAATAGCAACTCTGAGTGGACGAAGTAGTTCCATTCTAAGGCGTGATGACAAAGAATTCTGCTTGTTGGGGTCGACTATCTTTTTGCCATCTGCTTGCATGATGAACAAGTCAATCTCACATTTTCCTCTAGGTTTTGTAGTGAAACGCCCATAAGAAATCTGGTTGAATGACAAACCTTGCACCCTTAGGATACTAAAGATGACTTAGAAAGTATATGTATGCCAGTGTTCATGAAGATTAGAAAAACAAAGACAATCAGCCAGAGTGGAAGGAAAGTGAAACTTCATATGTCGTATTCAATATTCATGTACAAAACTGCAATCTAAGATGAAATAAAGTTTATATTATAGCTTAACAGTGCTTTCCTTTTCTGATGCAAGCCAATTTATAGCAGCAAAAATGAACTCTCAGAAATATAGTATTATTATCTAGATTTCAAATTTCTATACCTTAATGTTGTAGTCCTTCAGAGTTCTCATGATGTCAAAAAGAAGACCTTTGTGGTCCTGGCACATAATTTGGACAAGGGTGTGAGCAGGACTAAGCAAGTTATCCATCGCAATTGAAACATAATCTGATCTGAGAGTTCCACTTCGAGCCAAATCAGGCAATTCCAAATTAAAAACATCTTCTGTGATTGCAGTTGGAAGGAATGGAGATGCCTGGGAACAAGCAGTAATTTCCGGGCCAACCAATTCGATGTCAATAGAAATGATAGCATCCCCCAAAATCTCTGTTAGCTGTTCAATTGTTTCGTCCTTTCTCTTCTTTGTATGTAGAAGTTCCCTAATTCAATGCAAGAATAAGCAGTAAACTATATTAGTATGTTCTGAGAGTGATGATATTGTCATTCAATGGGCATGTGGACATAAGCAAATAAACTTCCATTCTCATAAAGTGATAAAACACATCCGAACATTCTCTAATGAAACAGGTTGGCTATCTAAAAGACTTTGATCGTGGAGTATATTAGCACATTCCCCAGAACAAACACAATTTTTTTTTTTAGCAGAACCAAATAGAATGACCATCAAGATGACAGTAGCTCTGCACACAATTTCACAAGTGATTACATCTGGTTTTTACAACTCAGATACCATATATTTTAATTCCATTCAAGATGCATATTTTCATGGAGAAGAAAAAAGCAAAAGCAAAATCAATTTTCATTCTAATTCATATGCAGTCTTAATAAATAGATAAAAAAGTTTCAACATAAATGAATTAATAATTGAAGGACAGCAACTATAAAATGCAAACCTAGTATCTGTGATGAAAAATAGATCCATCACTTTGCCATCAGGTGTAGTAGATACCTTCACTTTCTTTATAGTAAGTTCTAGCTCACAAAGAACCTCAGTAACATCTGCCACCATCATAAAGATATTCAGATATATTGTTCTGTCTACCAAATCCACACAAAATCAATGTCACGAAGTGATGATCTTACAAAAACCATATATCTAGGAAGGGAGGTAAAATTCACGACAGGCACAGTGTATGTATCCATGAATAGAAAACAACAAAGCTTTGGAATTGGAATCCATTTTAGAATGACATCAAATGGCTGTTTTAAGACAGCCAGTTCATTTTCCTCTTAGCACAATTTTCACAACAATCAAACCAAACCCTTCGTTTCATTTACCACTCCCCCAAAAAAGTTAGAACAAAATAGGTTTTAAAAACCGGTCCACACTGCGATTTCGGCAACAATGTCGAAATTGTTGGAGTCACTGCGACTGCAATTATGACCACATCAACCACATTTGTCCACAATTTCCCACAATATCAAGGAACTGGAACTCCACAACATCATGACCACAATTTAAAACCTTGAGAGAAATTAAAAGTTTAAAACCCTCATCATATCATGAAGCCTAAAGGCCAAAGTGTTGATTCTTGACCTTATATAGAAACAATAAAGACATCAAGTAATCAAAAACCAACCAAGTCTTAGAGCAACCAACCAATAGAGTTTCCATAATTACCATGCAAAAGGCCTTTCCGATCGTGACAAGAAAAGTTCAGAAGAAAGACATCAGGAGGGTTACATGGCTGCAAATCAGAGCGGTAATAGGAGATTCCAGAAGCTGAAGAACAAGAAGGGCATGCCTCAATTAGTCTCTTCTTCAACAAACCCCACCTCGTCCTCTGTTTCCCAACCACCCAGAAAACTATGTAGCACCATTTTCCATCCGTTGACACATCTTCATTGCAGCAAATAAAAAATTAAAAAAAAAAAAAAAACATTAGCCTCCCTCAACCTCAAACCAACACAAAGTACTATGATAATTGATAACACATGTTACCTCCTCTGACTATGTTGAGACCAAAGAAGAGTATGATACGACACAAATCGCAGCCCAAACCGGTTTTGTCAGGGCAGTTCACTGTGATAACTGTTGGGTCACCGTCTTTCTCTGGCTCCCTTATGATCACTACGTCGTCGTACAGTATACCCATAATCTTGTTCTTGTTAAGTTTGTGAAGCGTTTTTGGGTGTGTCGCTGTGGAGAGAGGCAAAGCCAAAGGTTTGTGTTTTTCGAGTTTAACTAAGTGTCTTGCTTCGGCGGTTGGTGGTGTTGAATCATTGTCCACAACTTGGATTGGAATCAACGATATATTGAGAAAACGAGAGGATGGTGATATCTGAATTGTGGACTATAGATAGTGCTAGAAAATGTGGATTTTAAACTCTTTATTAATAATTTTTTGAAGCTCGTGTGAGAATGCAAATAAAATCTTACATTATTTAAATAAGAACATGAATATAAGTTTATATACGTATAATTATTTTTATTGGTAGAGAAACCTTTTACATGATTAAAAGAAAATTTGAAACCTCAAAATTAGACTAAAAGTAATTTTTAGTACACCGTCTTTAATAACTTTTTATCAAAATGTATGGATTCAGCTATTAAATTAAAGGAATTATTAAGTTTATTTTTTTTATAATTTTTTATCGAAAAATGTTTATGTGGATCAACTTTACAAATTTGTTAAAATGACAGAATATTTGGTTTATATGCAAAAGAAATCCATGTGTTAAAAGAAGTCTCCACAAAATGGTATATTGTTATTTGAAGGTTGATTAAGCGGTCACTTCTCTTAAACTTCGTGAAAAATACATTGCATAAGTTTATTTACTTGAAGAACTATAGGAGCAAATTTATAATTATAATTTTATATGTTAACGGTATTTTTCTTGTTTGCATGTTGATGATATAAAGGACTTAGGTGTTGTTTTAACTGTTTTAGGCATCTATATTTATTATGAAAGGTCACATGACATTCTTTGGTTTTCTTAAAAAAAAATATATTGAAAATGTTCTTATAACGCGCATTATTACTCCATATGAGTTGGCCTTATTTAGATGGATAAAAACTGTCTAAATCTCAATGTTTATAAGATCATAAGATAAATTTCTAATTTTTTGTTTATGATGACAAGAGTTGTTTCTATAAAGAGTACTGTCACACACTAACACAAATACATGTAACTATTTTAATTATAGGGACATAACTTGTTGCTTATTACAAAACTATTTGCTAAGTCTTATGGTTGAAGGAATTTTTTCATTTGTTGCATTGTTAAGGGCATACTTAGATCACTTGTAATATATTGAGATAATACTAGTGTTGTATGATTCTTTGAAAAAGAAAATAAGAGGAACTTTTTCGATCAACATCCTTTAATATAAAATAAGAACATTGCTATAGAGTAAACGTTGCTAAATCCACATACTAATTACTTAATTACTCAAGCTTTTTAGAATCATGTAATGCATGTGGATTTAGTTATATTTTTTTATTTTTATTGAGATTTTTTTATTATATGTTTGTTATTTTTAGTCCATATAAACATGATAAATTTTGATTTTAATCTTTTAAAAAATTGTTGAGTTGATCTTTATAAATTTTAAAAGTCTTGAAAATGATCATTATTATTTAATGTTAATGTGGCATGCATGCTTCTAAAAATGTCATGTTAAAGTTGTCGTTAATGTAACATACTAATATGTTTATATGCATATTAAGTAATTATTAAATAATTATAAAAAGAATCATTAATATAGAGAGAGAAAGGGGGACATACTAATTATCGCATGCCTCCTTTCTTTCTATTACTTTGTAGCAACCAAATTAAAACTCTGAATTCTCATTACCATCCATTTGTACATGGTGTTTACTGTGGAGAAAAATGGGTCATGGAACCAAGATTAAAATGAAAGGGTTTATTAGTGTTTATTTGAGAATTGAGGTTGGAGATTGGTATAACACCATGCTTTCTTAATAATGTTTATTATGATAAATGTACTTAAATAATATATTTTATGTTAATAATATATTTTATGTTATTTTATTTTTTAATTTTTGTGGGGTGAAAGTTAGAATTTTGATAACTCTAAATTTAAATTATAAATGATATAGTTTAATTACATGAGAGTTGGCTTATAGAGGATTGATGTATATAAGACGAATTATAAGAAATGAGTTTCATAATTTCATAACTCTAGAATTTTATAAAAAAAATTAGAGAGAGAAAATATGGGGCCCATAAAGCTCGATTTTTGATCTGATTCTACTAAAATATCTATTTTCTTCCCCTGATCGCTATGTGTTAGAAGTTGAGATTTGTAACAGCCCAAGCAACCCGCATGTAGATATTGTCCGCTTTGGCCGCAGCCCTCACGGATTTGTTCTTGGCGATGGCACGCATGCCACCCCAAAACGCGTCTACACAAGGAAGGTGTCCACACCCATATATATGGCATGCTTCGTTCCCCTTCCTAACCGATGTGGGACTATATCCACCCCCCCTCAAGGGAGTCCAGCGCCCTCGCTGGCACACCGATCCGGGCCCCGGCTCTGATACCAATGTAACAGCCCAAGCAACCCGCATGTAGATATTGTCCGCTTTGGCCGCAGCCCTCACGGATTTGTTCTTGGCGATGGCACGCATGCCACCCCAAAACGCGTCTACACAAGGAAGGTGTCCACACCCATATATATGGCATGCTTCGTTCCCCTTCCTAACCGATGTGGGACTATATCCACCCCCCCTCAAGGGAGTCCAGCGCCCTCGCTGGCACACCGATCCGGGCCCCGGCTCTGATACCAATGTAACAGCCCAAGCA